CGGAGACAGGGTGCCATTAAACGAGCCCATCCACAACCTCCCTGGATCAGGTCTGGGGGACTGCTGGTGAAAGCATGTTGTTCCAGGAGCCAAACATCCTGCTCCGAGTTGGCAGTGCCCTCTTGGACTGCTGGGGAAATGCATTTCCCCCCCTCTGCAGTGAATGCTTCCGTTGCTCTCTGGAGGGCCACAGAGTCCCTGTTAGGGTCTGGAAGAGCTACTGTCCTACTGGGCTCGAGGGAGGCTCGAAGGGCACCGGATGAAGTGAAGCAGGTCTGGGTCCCTCAGTGCTTGGATGGATGGGAAACCTCCCGGGAGCCCTTTCCGTACGACTGCTTGAACTCCGTAATGGAAGAAAGGTGGGACAGAAGTGTAATAAATGGGGGAGCCTGGTCGATATGGACAAAAGACAGCGACGGAGTGCAGTAGTGCACCTGTCCCCTGGCTCGAAGTAGATAAGGTGGAATAGCAATTTAACTGCAGCTGGCACAAGTGGCTTAACTGTCCCACTAAACAATGAGCAAAGTGACTTGGTGTTGCAGGGACAGGTTGACTGTTTTTCCAAGCAGTGGTAACGTACAATTTAGTACTTTCATTTTTTTTAAAAAGGAAGAATGTAAGTAGAGGAGAGATGGAAGGCATGTGACTATCACAACTAAGGGAACATAGAGAAGAAAAAAAAGGATTGGCATCTGCCGCCACACCTGAAGATGAAAAGGTGTGGAGGGTGAGAAAAAGAGGGAAAACAGCATATCTGCCCCTTCTCTCTCAAGTGCCCCCCCCCAGAAGATGTACTGACAAAAGGGAGACAAGCCTTTTCTAAGGGGAGACCCACACCACAACTAGCTCTTCAGTGTGGTCATTACTACTGACTCTTTTCTGACAGTCTCTTCCACACCAATTCTCGGCTTAATCACTCCCTGGTTAAAGTTTGGCTAATACTGCCTCTAAGAGCAAGAACAGTCGTTCTCATTCCTGGCACTGCTGTGCAGACAACTGCAGGAACTTATTTCATTCAGGCCCAATTACAACATGATCTTATACGTGCCTGCCATCCCATTTAAACTGTGCTGCTATATGTGCAACATTAGCTTACTGACACTAACAAAGTTTTTATTCTAGCAAGAACTTTGTGACCCACTTTTTCAGATATGTGTGCTCTAAATCCACAAAAGCTTACGCTACAAGAAAAACTTGTCTTTAAGACGCTACAAGACTCCTGTTTATTTTTGCTGCAACAGACTTAACATGGGTGCTCTGTAGGTTAAACAATACTCTGGGAGCATGAAAAACTTCACAGGTAAAACCTCTAAATTGGGCCATAGAGGAGGAATGAACATGGCTTTTGTATTTCTTGAAACAGAAAAAGCGGTACAGCCACGCAAAGTTCTAAAACAAAATCCATGAAAGATATTTATTAGGACCAACCCACCCTGTAATTCAACACCTCAGCAATAACGTTAATGACCCGCTTGCATCTCACAGAGGATGCCTGTAAGATTAGACCTCAACATCAAAACCAGGAAGTCTGCCTTCTACCCTTTGGTCTTTTAACATTTTGAAACATCACATCTGATAAAGAGTTCTGGTGAGCTCAAAAGCTTGCACTGTATTTTTGTGTCCGTTTGGCTGGTCCTAATAAAAGGCCCTTCATTCTTGTTTTTTGCAAGTGGCTTTCAGAAGGCATGACACCAGTGCAAAAAGTGGACTCTGTAGCAGAGTAGGTATATACTTTTGCAGAAGGGTTGCCAACTCTGGGTTAGGAAATTCCTGGAGATTCAGGGGGGTTGAAGCCTGGGGAGGGTGGGATTTGGGGACAGGAGGGACCTCAATGGGGTCTGATGCTACACAGTCCACCCTCTAAAGCAGCCATTTTCTCCATGGAAACTGATCTCTGTTGTCTGGAGATCAGCTGTAATACTTGGAGAACTTCAGGCCCCACCGAGAGGTTGGCAGCCCTATTTTGGAGCGATCTAGAGACATATCTAGATTCCCTCTCCCAGTGAGTTACCATCCCTGATGCTGGTACTGCTTCGCCGGCTCATTCTGTCTGCAGTGCCAGTCCTTAGCATGGCTGTCATAATTAGATTCCTCTGTTAATTACCCATGCCTGTGAAAAGGTAAAATAAAGATGAACAATTCATGCAGAACACAGACAAATCATGTAAATAAAATCTATGTGTGCCCTTCCTCATTCAATATGAATTTCTGAATATTTTATTTCTAGCTTTTAGCAAATGCCACTGAAAGACAGAATATTGTTCTTATTTAATTTTGTGGGTTTTTTTTTAAAAAAAATCTTTGTTCATTTTTTTTGTCTTCCATCTAACTTTTTTGTTAATTAAAAAAACCTCTGCTGTGTTAATTACTCTCATTTGTTTCTTCTCTGGTGTGGATGTTTTAATTGTTTGTATTTTGGCGGGATCTGGTCCATGGGGTCGCGAAGAGTCAGACTCGACTGTGCGACTGAACAACAACAAAATTTTGATTTATGGATATATTGTCATATATGAATTTGTTAGCAACGTCATATTAAGCTCGCAGAATGCAAGTGTTTCAATTTTTTTAAAAAAGCAATTCTGAATGACATTATTCCTTATCCTGATGTTTGTATAATGCATTGGGGAGGGAGAGGAGTTCATCTAATGCATCCTGAAAATATATATTTTAAAAAAATAGCTTGGATCTTTAGGGAAAATAATAATTATAATATTATTTTATTTTTATTATTCGCCCTATCCCCGCTTACTCTGGGCGATGTTCAAAACGCAAAATAAAATATCCATATACAATTAATACAATTAATAAGAGATAAAACCAGAATAAAAGATCCAAGATGACGAATTACAATTTTCTGCTCCCATTCTGGACTGCCCGGCCACTTAGTGGGAAGGAGAGAGGGAAACTTAAACAAAAAATATAGGGGGGAGAGGGAACAACTGCAATACAGAATTAAGGTAAAGGTTTCCCTTGCTCAAAAGCCAGTCAAATCAGACTCTAGGGGGTGGTGCTCATATTTGTAGATCCCGCAGGGCTCTGGTGTCATTTGTCAGAGAGTTCCACCAGGTTGGAGCCAGGACTGAATAAGCCCTGGCCCTGGTTGAGGACAGCCGGACATTCCTAGGGCCGAGGATCACCAGCAAGTTGTCGTCAGTGGAGCACAAGGCTCTCCCAGGGACATACCAGAGAAGGTGGTCCTGCAGGTATGTAGGTCTCAGACCGCTCAAGGCCTTAAAGGTCAATACCAAAACCTTGAACCTGACTTGGACTCCACTGGAAGACAATGTAGCTGGCGCAGCACTGGTTGCAGGGGTCGTTTAGTAGAAAAAGAGCTAGGGGAACTCATTAGCATAACTCATTAGCATATGCCACACCCCCTGACATCACCGGAAGTGTGTCATAAGGCCACACACCCCGCCCCCAACGGTCCCGGCCGCCGCTGGCCTTGCAGCTCCATGAGGGGCCCGGCGGTGGACCTGCAAGGCCGGCGGGAGTGGAAGGAAGCCCCGCGAAGGCCCTCCCTGGCCCCAGGCAGACAGGGGTGGGGAGAGGCAGGGAGGAAGCAACTTACCCTCCCTCTCCTCCTGCCTCCTCCTGGCTGAATGAGGGCCGGAAGCAGGGGGCGGGGCTTTGTCATGTGCCCCGCCCCCCGTACCTCACCCGGGGGAACTGCGATCCCCCGCGTCCCCCCCCCCAAATGACCTCTGACTGGTTGTATCTGTGCCGTCTGTGACGTTCCCATCAGGACCCGTGCTGCTGCATTCTGGACCAGTTGGGAGTTTCCAGGTCAGTCTTAAGGGCAGGGCAGCATAGAGCGAGTTGCATTCGTCTAACCTGGAGGTGACTATCGCATGGATTACTGTGGCTAGTTCAAGGCATGACAAGAAAGAAGCCAGTCGCTAGGCTTGGAGGTGGAAAATCACCAGCCTGGCAATATGCATGACTTGGGATTCTATCGATAGGAAGGTGATCCAAAGTCATGCCCAAACTCTTGCCGGATGGCGCGGGTGTCAGTGGTGCCTGAACTCTTGTCCGAAGCGCCCCCCACCCCACCCCACCCACAGAACCTCTGTCTTTGATGGATTCAGTCTCAGCCTGCCTCTTTTTTAGCCACCCCACCACAACCACAACCTCCAGTCCCGAAGCCAGACTTTGTGGGGCAGTGCCCCCCCCCGCCCCCAATAACAGATACAGCTGGGTGTCATCAGCATATTGATGGCACCCGAGCCTGAAATTCCTTGCTAGCTGGGTGAGGGGCGCGCGCATGTAAATATTCAATAAAATCAGGGAGAGGAGTACCCCCTGAGGATTATCTTACAAGTATAGGGCATAGTGCTGGTTTTTCTGCCAAGCCAGGCGCTGTTTTTATTTAGATGAGCCCCATTGAAAACCCTGCACTTCAGAGAGAGAAGGGGGGACTGGGCGGTCGTATGCAGGTCACATTAACCGTCACAGACGAAACGGTTACGGCGAGAACGCCGCCCGCTGGGGGGGGGGGGGGGGGGGGGAGCGGGGAAGAGCACGAGGCGACAGCCAAGAACGATAACAAACCCTCGCCACTTCTGATGCGTAAATGCGCATGCGCCGAGTCCCGCCTGACCTTCCACCTACGTTTTTCCCTACGGTACAGCCGGTGCCAAATCCTGGCGTCTATTCTTCCGTGAAGTCTCCCCCGCCACTTCCCCAGTTTTGAAGCACGGATGAATCATAAACACATTTTACACTCGCTCTTCTCATGGCAAGTACGTCCATTCTTTAACTTACTCGGGAAGTAGCCGTGCGACTAAATTAGGGCACGATTTTACAGAGCACCCATCATGGAAAGGTATTGTTGTTACGCATGCGTAGCGTGTTCGCCTGTAACCGGGGCAACGCTCCCAGCACATGCGTAAAAGAACCCTCTCGGTCGTCGCTGTGACGTTTATAGTCTTAGCGAGGAAGCCAGAGCGAGGAAAAACAAGATGTACAATCGAGACTTCCGGTTAAAAATGACCGACGTCCTTGAGTTAGGAGTGTTGGACCGACAACCCTGTTCGTTTTTAAACCGGAAGTGGTAACAAGAAGAGTAATATTTGTCTCTGTCTCCTAAGGAGCTTGCGTGGGTGGAATTCCCGACGGCGCTTGTTCGGTGGTTTTTGTCGTCGCTCTGGAATCGTCGATGCCCGGTTCTCGATGGTATTTTGGAATCTGGGGTGTCTCGGGAAAGGGGCCCTCTGGAATCAAGGCTTTGCCTAGCAATTGAACTTGTATTAGGCCAGAGACTGAGTGCGGGTAGTCGTTAGAGTGCTGGGCTAGTGCTGGAGAGGTTTGGGTTCAAATCACCACTCGGGATGGGCTAGGGTAGACAGACCCTCTGGCCTAATACAAGGGTTATTATGAAGATGAAGTTAGGGAGGTGCACAGAAATCAATACGTACTATCCTAAGCTTCTTGGAGAGAGAAAAATGGGGTGTAGAGAGTGGAGCCCCTTTTATTACTAGGGCCTGCGTGGGGGCCCTTTGAGTTCTTTTCTACCCAAAGATTCCCCTCTCTGACTTATTCTTTCTCCTCCACTCCTAGTTGTTTTTCTTAAACTGTTTCTGCCTTGCTTCCAGCTTCTATCTCCTACAGTTTTCCTCTGTCCAAAATCGTATTTCTCCATTTTTCCTCGATGTGTGACCTGTAGGGTTGCCAGCTTCCAGGTGGGGCCTGGGGATCTCCTGCTTTTACAACTGATCTCCAGCTGACAGATCAGCTTCCCTGGAGAAAATGGCTGCTTTGGAAGGTGGACTCCATAGCATTGTATTATGCTGAGGCCTCTCCCCTCCACAAACCCCGCCCTCTCCTGGTTCCACCCCCAAAGTCTCCAGGTATTTTCCAACCCAGACCTGGCAACCCTAGTGACCCGGGAAACATTCGGGGGTGGGGGGAGTTTTCTGTCTCCAAACAATTAGCATGGGTTTGTTCGTTTGTTTAAGGGACAATGGTTATATGGCCTGCATCTAGGGTTCACAGCCTCCAGGTGGGGCCTGGGGATCTCCCGCTTTTACAACTGACCTCCAGCCAACGGAGATCAGCTCCCCTGGAAAAAATGGCTGCTTTGAAGGGTGGACTCTAGGGCATTCTACCATGCCGAGGCCCCTCCCCTCCCCAAAGCCCGCCCTCTCCTGGATCCATCCCCAAAGTCTCCAGGTGTTTTCCAACCCAGACCTGGCAACCCTACTGGCGTCAAACAGGGCTTGCGTGGTTTGGTAGCACTCCCTTATTCCTGTGCGTTTGTTTTTTTAAATCTTTGTTATAGCATAACATGGGGAGTGGGGAGGCCTTGACCTCCGCCTCCATGTGCTGCAGGGAGACTGGTTGGCTTCTGTGTAAAATAGAATGCTTTGTGTTCAGGGCAATTTGTAGCAACTCCACTTCCTCATCCATGACGGAGAGAATATTTATACCTTCCCAAGTGGACCACCTGACATAGAATGTGATAGAGTTTTCTGAAGGTCAGCAGCTTGGATTTCTCTGCATATTTTTTTTTGAATAACCAAGTTTCTGACCCTTATGGTTGTGAAACTTCAGGATGTGCAGATACACCCGACAGAAGTCTCAGAAGCCAAAATGGGGCAGAGCTGGATTTTAGGTGCTCAGAGGGCTGGTTTCTGGGCTCTGTCTAAAGCTTTGCCTCTTTCCACTAGAAGAATACATTATGTGCAAATCAGGTTTGCATTGGCATTGCACAAAAGAAAGTTGTTTAAATCACAGAACCATAAATTTGTGTGTGCCAAGAAAAAAGGGGGGTAAGTGGGAATGCCAATCTGTTCCATTGTCTGTTTCACAATACCTTTTATTTTGTATCATTCTGTTTTTGCCTGTCATGGGGAATGGCATGAAACTATGTGTGGTCCTGAAGCCACAACCACTGAGATATCAAATTCAGCCATCTCTCCGGCACTTGAGATTTCAGCAATTGTCGCCCCCATCCTTTAAACCCCATCTTTGCAGCCATAATGAGTAAAAAGTTGGGAGGTTTTTAATGAAAGTTGAGGTTTTTAGGAAGCTGAATTCTGCAACCAGGTGCCTAGTCACAGTCCTGTCCACAGATGTCAATCGATGTCAATCCCTGCCTCTCTCTCTCCCCCCGTCCCCTTAACAGGCTGAGAAGCCCACGACTACAGTTTCCAGTCCATAGCCAGCCCTACTCGGCATTGCCATGAACCGTGGCCCGCAGCTGATTGCTTTCACTCGTGCCCAGGATGAATCGGATCTCTGGCGAGATGGGCACGTTCAGAAGAAAAGCCGCCAAACCACGCCTATGGCTGGCCAGGGGGGAGGGAGCACGGATGGAGAAACGGCGCGCAGCTTCTATGAGAGTCTGTTACTCTCAAGTGCTCCCAGGAAAGCCTCACAGAGGAAACGCAAGTTGCCTTCTGCACGCCTACCAGCACAGGAGGCCGTTCGCACCCAGAACCACCCTACACAGACGGACACCCGCAAAGGAAACCAGCTCTTGAAAGCGGCCCAAGATGGGAACCTGAAGGCCCTGCGGGCACTGGTAGAGAAGGACGGGTGTGACGTGAACTATAGGGATGATTACTATTGGACAGCCACAATGTGTGCTGCTTATGCTGGGCAGGCGGAGGCTGTAAGGTATCTCCTGAGCCGCGGCGCTGCCTGGGTGGGGGTGTGTGAGACTCAAGGCCGGGATGCGGTGGATTTGGCGGAAGAAGCGGGGCACCAGAAAGTGGTGGAAGTCCTCCAGGGAAGCGGAAGGCCCCGTGTGAAGGAGGAGCCCTCCAAGTGAGTTCCCTTCTTTCTGCAAGTTTGAGCCATTGTCTTCTCAAGGGGAAAAGAAAAGTAAACCTTATAGCAGCGGTGTCAAACTCATTTGTTATGAGGGCCGGATCTGACATACATGAGACCTTGTTGGGCCGAGCCATGTGTGTCATAAAATGTAATGGCAGGTAGCGGGGATATAAACTTTATAAAGAACACAAACACAAAGGGTTTTTTTTAAACTTAAAATAAAAACATGCTTAAAACATGAGCACTCTTGCAATATTTTGTTTAACTGACACTTCTTGCTGTGAATTATTGCATCAAAATATCTGTGCTGTTGTAATCTTGAGTATGCTGTTCACGTGTGTATCTGTAAGCTGTAAACCTACAATGATGCAGCCACAGCAGAACTGGAAGAAGAAGCAGAAGACAGCCAGTTCCACTGCGGGCCTGATATAAGTCCTCCGGGGGCCTGATCCGGCCCCCCGGCCGCATGTTTGACACCCCTGCCTTATAGGGTAAAATGGGTGTTCCAACACCTTGTCCAGCACACTAACCACTGCACCATACTAGCTTTGGACAGTCACTTTGCTCTGTGCCATAGACGGATCGATTTTGATTGTGCTTCAGTTACACTCTGCCTTTCTCCCCAAAGCAGCTTCTTCTGTTCCTCCATTTTATCCTCATAACAGCCCTGTGAAATAGGCTAGGAGGAGAGCAGATCCGTATCTGTTTTCTGCAGGTATTTGTAACCCTCCTTTTCTCCCCAGTCGGGACCCAAAGCAGGTTATATCGTTTGCCTCCTCATAGCAGTTCTGTGAGGTCGGTTAGGATGAGTGCGTGTGACAGGCGCAAGGTCGCCCCCCAGCCTGCTGCCGTGGCAGAGTAGGGATCTGAACTTGGGTCTCCCAGATCCTCATCAGATGCTCACTGACTGCACTGGCTCTGATAGGTGGGGGAACTTATTAAACCCCCGTTTGCTTTGTAACGGAGGGACTATTTTCCACCCTCCCTGTCAGTGCAGCCTTCACCATCCTGGCTTCTCACAAGTAAACCTTTGCTGCCGGTGCCTTAGAAGAGTGTAACTAAGATGGCACTGTCAAACAACTGTGGGCAGATAGTAGCCAAACCCTTACATATCCCTGACCAGTGTTCCCTCTAAGCTGAGTTAGTGTGAGCTAGCTCACAGTTTTTTAGCCTCTGGCTCACACATTTTTGTCTTAGCTCAGGAAGGATGGGGCTCCAGAGCAAACGAATTTATGCCGTAACCAAATTGCTTGCTCACCACTTTAATGCCAGTAGCTCACAGAGTAGAATTTTTGCTCACAGGACTCCATAGCTTAGAGGGAACATTGTCCCTGACTAGTATTCCTCTCCAACTCTGCCTATATCCACCCCCTAAAATGGGGGGGGGGGGCATGACAACTTTGGGCCCACAAATGTCCCTGCTTGAGAATGTTCCTTAGTTTAGGCTCTAGGGCCCGCCAGCCGGCTTCCTCCTCTGCCAAGCAGTGTTCCCTCTAAACTGAGTCGGTGTGAGCCAGCTCACAGTTTTTTTTAGCCTCTGGCTCACACATTTTTGCCTTCGCTCAGGAAGGACGGCTCCAGAGCAAACTAATTGATGCAGTAGCCAAATCGCTCGCTCACAACTTGAATGCCGGTAGCTCACAAAGTCCAATTTTTGCTCACAAGACTCCACGGCTTAGAGGCAACATTGCATTTCTTCCGTTCACATAGAGGCTGCCGCTGGATCAGAAAGTAAGCAAGAAGCAGCCTGGCACCATTCTGTCATGCCTGGATCCTGGCACCTCAAAGAGCCCCCCCCCCCCCCCCCCCGTTTTTTCTTTTTCTGTCGGACGTATTTTGCCTTGGATTGACATATCTATAAGATTTTGGTTTCCGTGGGCTACTTTAGGGAACTGGTTAAAATGACAAATCCTGCATTGTCCCTGCCCCAGTGCTAACCACAAAAATCAGACTGCCCTGAGACAAGGCAGTGGCCTCTTTAGACTCAGGGGACTCCCTGGGCATGCAGGAAAACACAGCTTTGTAGATTAACCAAGAGGAAAAATACTAAGCTGCCCAAGAGCCTGTGTGACGATGAGGAAATGTGTTTGAATATGCTGAATATGCAAAGGAGCCTTGTACTCAGTTGGTCCATCAATGTCAGTGTTGTCTACTCAAACTGTCGGCAGCTCTCTAGGCTCTCGGGCGGAGGTCTTTCACATCAGCCACTGCCTGCTCCTCTTAACTGGAGATGCCAGGGACTGAACATGGGACCTTTCCCATGCCAAGCAGATGTGCTGCCACCTGTGCTCCCTCTATGCTGTGGAGTCTCGTTAGCAAAAATTCTACCTTGTGAGCTACTGGCATTAAAGTTGTGAGCGAGCGATTTGGCTACGGCATAGATGAGTTTGCTCTGGAGCCCTCCTTCCTGAGCCGAGACAAAAGTGTGTGAGCCGGAGGCTAAAAAACTGTGAGCTAGCTCACAGAGATGGTTTGTTGTTGTTGTTCAGTCGCACAGTCGAGTCCGGCTCTTCGCGACCCCATGGACCAGATCCCGCCAGGCCCTGTCCTCTGAAGTTGGCTCAATTTCATGTTCGTTGCGTCGATGACACTGTCCAACCATCTCATCCTTTGCCGTCCCCGTCTTCTTTGACCTTCAATCTCAGAGATGGGAAATTGGCCTGCTGAAGCCCCCGAGGTCTTGAGAACAGAATCCTGGAAGGGGAGAGTTGTGGGCTTTGGGCAGGCTTTCCAGATTGGTTCCCTCTCCCCACAATTGCTGGTGGGCCCCGGCTTGTTAGTCAAGAAGGTTCTTCGGCTACTCCTTCGCTGCTTTATTGCCTTGCTGGATAAGTTGGTTCATTCTTCCTCCATCAGTATCCAGCCAAACTACGTCAGTATGGTGGAGATTATTATTTTTTTTTTCCAACTTATATCCCGCCCTTTCCCACAAGTGGGCTGAGGGCGGCTTACAGCACGTAGTCCATAAAGCAGTAAAAGCAATAAAACAGTCGATGGCACAATAGACAGTCTCATCAGACCCCATGCCTCATATCAGGTGAATATATTTATTTATTTATTTATCAAATTTATACCCCGCCCTCCCCCGTAGGGCTCAGGGCGGCTTACAGGGCGAGAAATCTCGCAACAATAAAACATACTATACATTTAGAACATACTATACAGTTTAAAACCAATCCCACTACAAATAAAGTGCTCAATGATCTTTAATTCGAACCCAGAGAGATGACTGACCAAGTCCAGGAGGTCCCAGTAGACATTCAGTGGCTTCAGTATTCAGATGTTAAAAGTTCAGATGTTCCTTCCTAGGGCCTCTTTCACCCATCCAGCCAAACTACGTCAGTATGGTGGAGATTATTATTTTTTTTTTCCAACTTATATCCCGCCCTTTCCCACAAGTGGGCTGAGGGCGGCTTACAGCACGTAGTCCATAAAGCAGTAAAAGCAATAAAACAGTCGATGGCACAATAGACAGTCTCATCAGACCCCATGCCTCATATCAGGTGAATATATTTATTTATTTATTTATCAAATTTATACCCCGCCCTCCCCCGTAGGGCTCAGGGCGGCTTACAGGGCGAGAAATCTCGCAACAATAAAACATACTATACATTTAGAACATACTATACAGTTTAAAACCAATCCCACTACAAATAAAGTGCTCAATGATCTTTAATTCGAACCCAGAGAGATGACTGACCAAGTCCAGGAGGTCCCAGTAGACATTCAGTGGCTTCAGTATTCAGATGTTAAAAGTTCAGATGTTCCTTCCTAGGGCCTCTTTCACCCCCCCCATGATGACAATATAGCGGGGGGGGGCGGCCCCTACTCGAAAGCCTGGTGGAAGAGCTCCGTCTTGCAGGCCCTGCGGAACTGCCTCAGATCCCGTTGTCCCCTGAGCTTTGCCCTTGAAGTCAGAGCTATAGTGCTTCTTGATATGGAGGTTTCTTTTAGCTATGCTGTTCGCAAACATGAG